AACAGATAATGGTGAAGAATACAAGAGTGATCCATTCCAAAAGATATGCCAAGAGTGTGGCATAGTTCGGCACTTCACAGTTAGAAGAACATCGTAACAGAATGGGGTGTCAGAGCGTATGAACAAGACACTAGCGGAGAAAATTCGTTGTATGCTGTCTAATGCTGGGTTAGACAGAAAATTTTGGGGTAAGGCTGTGACGTACGCTCAACATCTCGTCAATCGTTTACCATCATCTGCAATCGGTGGTAAGACTCCGTTAGAGGTATGGTCTAAAAAACCTGCAACTGATTATGATTCTTTGCGTATTTTTGGGTTCTACTGCATATTATCATGTAAATGAATCAAAGTTGGATCCATGTGCAAAGAAAACTCTCTTTATGGGCTTTAATATGGGAGTTAAATGATACTGTTTGTGGTGTCTAGAAGCAAAGAAGACCATTATCAGCAAGAATGTTATTTTTGATGAATCTGCCATGTTGAATAAGGTAACATAAGATGGGACCAGTGGTACTCCGCAACAGGTGGAGTGTGCGCCGAAACAAGTGGAGTTTGAGCAAATAGTGAGCTTAGCAAATAGCACCATCAGTGACTCTCCCATGACAGAAGAGGAGTCAGATGAGGAAGAGGTTTCAACCCAAGAAGCTCAACAGCAACAAGAGTCAATTGCCGTCAATATGCCAAGACGAGAAATTTAAAAACCTGCTCGTTTTGCTGATATGGGGACCTATGCACTTCCAGTTGTTGATGATGTTTCAACTACCTTTTCTGAAACAATTTGAAGTACAGAAAATGGTAAATAGAAAGATACTATGGAAGAAGAGATGCAATCTCTTTAGAAGAACAAGACGTGGAAGTTAATGCAACTGCCGAAGGACAAGAAGGCAATTGAATGCAAATGAATATTTGCAAAGAAAGAAGGATTTTCTGACAAGAATGATGTTCGTTACAAGGCAAGATTGGTGGCTAAAGGATACGCTCAGAAGGAGGGAGTTGATTATAATGAGGTATTTTCTTCAGTTGTTAAACATTCCTCTATTAGAATTTTGTTGGCCTTGGTAGCACAGTTGAATTTGGAGCTAGCTCAACTTGATGTGAAGACCGCATTCCTTCACGGTGATTTGAAGGAGGAAATCTATATGTCTCAGCCAGATGGATTTAAAATTGCTGGTAAAGAAGATTGGATTTGTAAGCTGAGTAAATCGTTGTACGGATTGAAACAATCACCGAGGCGATGGTACAAATGATTTGACCAGTTCATGATCGGTCAGAAGTACACAAGAAGCAAATACGATCATTGTGCGTATTTGCACAAGCTACGAGATGATTCCTATATCTACTTACTCTTGTATGTTGATGATATGTTGATAGCGTCAAAGAGCCAAGTTGAAATTGACAAAATGAAGGTTCAATTGAGTAAAGAGTTCGATGTGAAGAATTTGGGAGAAATCAAGAAGATTCTCGGCATGGAGATAAGCAGGAATAGAACGAGAGGCAAGTTTTATCTGACACAGAAGCAGTATTTGAAAAAGGTACTACAATATTTTGGCATGAATGGAGATTCAAAACCTGTAAGTACTCCGCTTGCTCCTCATTTGAAACTTAGTAGCCTATTATCTCCAAAACGGATGAAGAGCGAGCATACATGGCGAAAGTCCCGTATGCTAATGCAGTTGGTAGCTTGATGTATGCAATGGTGTGTACTAGACCCAACATTTCACAAGCAGTTGGTGTGGTAAGCAGGTTTATGCATGATCCGGGTAAGGGTCATTGGCAAGCTGTGAAATGGATTCTACGGTATATCCAAGATACTGTAGATATTGGATTAGTATTTGAGTAGGATAAATTACTTAGTCAATGTATAGTTGGATATTGTGATTCTAACTATGCAGGTGATTTGGATAAGCGACGCTCTACAACTGGCTACTTGTTCACGTTTGCTAAGGCGCCAGTTAGTTGGAAGTCTACTTTGCAGTCAACGGTGGCTTTGTCTACAATGGAGGCAGGGTATATGGCAATTACTGAAACTGTGAAAGAGGCCATTTGGCTTCAAGGATTATTTGAAAACTTGGGAGTTGGTCAAAACATATTAACGTGTTTTGTGATGGTCAGAGTGCTATTCACTTAGCGAAAAACCAGGTCTTTCACGCAAGAACGAAGCACATTGATGTTCGCTATTATTTCGTGTGAGAAATTTTCGAAGAAAAGGAGATTTTTCTTCAGAAAATTCGGACTACGGAGAATCTTGCAGATATGCTGACCAAGGTGGTTACAAGAGTCAAGTTTGAACATTGTCTAAACTTGGTTAACATCCTGCACATTTGAGTTGACACCTAAAGGCGCAAATTTGGAAGCACCGCAAGGACCATTTGAATTTTTGTTTGAGTGAAAAAATTTGTATTTTTTGGTGAGACTAGAAATTATGCCAAGATGGAGATTTGTTGACTTTTGTGGCAGTAATTCAAGTCCACAATTGTTGACAAATTTTTGACAAACATTTAATCCCACATCGGTGGTTTAGCTTTAAAGGGAAGTGTTTGTTAGTTATAAATAAATACTCCCTCTCCTCAATTCAATTGTACAAAAAATATTGAAAAAAATTATTTTGTAATTCTTTTCTTCTCCCAAAAATTACTAAGAGCGGGTCACTTGAGCGGTGCTCGGAGATTAGGAAAATTGGCTGAACTCCGTTATCAATTTTTCGGGTGTGTTTTTTCCTTATCTCTTTTATTTATTCTACATTTATTTAGTAGTTTCTTTTCTATTGTAATATAGTATTCAATATATTTGTCGGGTTTATTTGTAGTGTTTTATACGGTTCATTTGGGTGTATTTTTTTATTCGTGTGTACGTATTATTTATGTATACACGGGTCTAGTTGTGATAATATACCGTATACGTAAATTTTGTCTAGGAGACTGGGTTTTAAGTGGGATCGCTTATGACTCCTCCAACCTTTCCTGGAAATTTACTTGGAATGGTAATTCTGTCTAAGGAGATTGTTTTAACGATCCTCTTGGGAATTACTGAATCGGTTTAAATCACTAGTTGAATTTTTGAGTGAAAAATTATCCGATTTTTCCAACACTTTTAATACAATATATTTGAATAAAAGGAACTTTTTAGAGAGAGACAGAGAGAGAGAGAGAGCAATGGTTAGATTAAAAACAGTGACAAGCAGGAACAAACTCATATATCTAGATGGTAAAAAAACAAAAAAAAAAAGGGAAAAAGAACAAAAGGAACAAAATTCTACACAACAAGGTTGCAATAGCATACTGCATTCTTGGCATCTCAAAATGAACAGGAAAAAAGGGAAAAGCAAGTGTTGGGTCATTCAGTTATTTGATTGGGATGAAAAGTGTACCAGTCGGATGTAAGGATCACACGAATCTGTAGCCATCTTAAAGAAAATTTCAGAAATTGCGATGATTGATAATAAACATTATGAAATATTGAAGGAAATAAGAACATCAGAATATTACAGAAACATGTTTGATAGACAATGTTGAATTCATAAATGCATGACCTATAGAATCAAAGAATTGAAAAGCTCCAGAAATTGAACTGAGAAACATGAAAAGTTGTACTAGCATTGAACTGATTGAACATATACGAATAGAACAATGGTAGTATATCTAACCTAATAAGTGGAACCCACTTTGCTTTTGAGTCCCTGCCCACTCAAGAACATACATTAACAGCACCCATTACAAAATGTGATGAGAGGAAATCGGCTCTCTTTCTGAGTTTGCACTAAGAAGAAAACATGAACTGTCATCAATTTTCTGGTTCAATAATAATGATCTTTAGATCCTCATTTCCCATATCTATCTGCTCTTGCTGTATTTGCATCATAGAATTTAAGGCAGACTCATGACACCATCTCACCTCAATCATATCAAGAGTGAGAATTTCCCCTCAACAAGAAGGTACCTTTTCCAGCCAACCACAATCATACAAAACCAATTTCTCAAGACAGCAAAAATTATCAGAAGAGGGTCCCACCAGCGAATGTCCAACTCTGACAATTCCAAGAATCGGAGGTTACCAAACTCCCCTTCTTCCATTTCCCACTTTTCCCCCACAAAGGAATCATCGCATAATTTGAGCACTTCAAGGTTGGGTAGCTTTCCAATTACTGAAATTTTACTTCATGGCTGACGATTACCTGAGAGGGTCAACTTTCTCAAATTCAATGGGAATTCAAACTCAGATCCGGTAAAATTCCTCATTCTTAGTGATTCTAATTGACTCAAGTAGTCCAGCACGAGTAACCCATCCCCATTGTGATTTCCTATAAATGCTCTCTCTTCATCTCCCACACATGTTAGCCTCTGGATGCTCGGTAACTTTGAGAGTATCTTTTGCAAGCTTTGACTTTGAGAAGAGACATCCATTGCAAGGGATAAAGTTTCCAAGTGTTCTAAATCTGGGAAGCCTTCAAGATTGTCCATGGAAAATTTGAAACCACATTCGTTATTTGGAGAAACGACAAGATGCTTTAATGTTTTAATGTTCCAGATAGTGTTCGGTAACAAAAAATTACGAAAGTTTCCTCCTACCACAAAAGTTTCTAACCTTGAGAGGTCGGCTATTGCAGATGGGATTTCCTGACTGCGCAAGTTAATACTCAAGTACCTCAAGTGAACAAGGAATAAAACTTTCCTTGGAAAAAATGGACAAGCAATCTCTCCAAAATCCAACTCTCTAAGAAGTTTAGATAACACAAATTTGAGTGAGCTTCCGTCTAGCTTCTGTACATAATTACGATCAAAGAAGAGCAAACAACGTAAATTGGGAAAAAATAGCCTTGACTTTATACGTCTCCAACTGGTGGTAGGGAAAATGGACAGCCGGTGGGAGTTACAGGGTCCAGTAAAAGCATGAAGGTCATCCCCATGTAAAATCTGTAGAAAATTTTCTTCTTTTGCTTTCGCCACACAAAACTCATGTACCAAATCATGAATTCGGCAAACTTTGATCCCACCTAAAGATCTTCATTGTGTAGGCATAACTAAACTTCTCCCAATCAGATCCATCAAATAGCCATCTACCACATCCTCTAAACTCTTTCCTGCAATCTTTTGCACGAATCCTTCAGAGATCCAAAGCCGTAACAACTTTCAGACAGGAATGTCTTGGTCTTCTTGAAATGCACCCAAGTAAAGAAGACATGGTTTCAAATAATCGGGTAAATAATTATAACTATGCTCAAGCGTCTCCATGCAGTGTTCATTGTCCATAAAAATGGTGGAACTTAGACATCTTGTGACTTCTTCCCAGTAATCTTGCTGTATAGTAGCAAGAATTCCAGCAACAAGGACAACTGCAAGAGGTAGGCCCTTACAGTATTTTGCTACGTGCTGTACAACTTCACTTAAAGTTGGAGGACAATTTTCTTTGGCAAATAGCTTCTTTTGCAGCAATTTCAAACTCTCTTCATCAGTAAGTGGGCGAAGATGGTGAGGCTTGCAATCAGGTTTAATTTGCAAAGACAAATTCTGAAATCTGCTGGTTAAGAGTACCCTGCTTCCATTGTAATCATTTGGCAATGAGTGTTTCAACATATTCGAACCGTTAATGTCCCAAACATCATCCAAAACAATGACATACCTCTTCCCTTTCAATTGCTGGTATAGCCTTGTAGCCAATCATCTTCATTCATCTTATGATATGGTCACTACTTCTAGAATCAATAACACACAAAATCTGTAGCAACAAATTGTGCTTGCTATATGCTTGAGAAATAGTACACCAAGCACGAATGTGGAAGTGGAACTTTATTGAACGATCACTGTAAACTTTACTGGCTAATGTGGTCTTACCAAGCCCAGGCATACCCACAATAGCAACAACATCTAACTGGCTTGATCCTCTCATAAGTCTATCAATTATACTTTCCACCTAATCATTGAGACCTACTAGAACTTCATTAAATATTGGAGCAACAATTTGTGATGGCATGTGAATGGTAGTCTTGGTAACTCCCAAGGTTTCACCATCATATCTTATGCTGTCATAGATCTCTTCAGCCTCAATTTTCATAAGCTTGATATCTCTAGCAAAAGCATTCAAACAATGTTCATGTTTATCACCAAGCAGTGTAGAGTCAATTTTTAACTCTACACTGTATGCAACCTTCATGACCTGACTCCAAAGAGTTTGGAGTTTTTCATTTCGGTTGCACTGCTCCACAATATTTCCTAAGAAAGATCTTAAGAATACAAGGTCTTTTAGGATTGTGCATATTTGATTGTTTGGGAAAACAATTGAATCAACTGTAGAACTTGCTAGTTCCTTGAGAGCTTCTAGAAGAAAATCAAGCAAGGCAAGCTCATTAGTCTTAGGGAAACTAAGTAATGATGATGGTAGTGGATAAATATGTCCAACTTCTGCTGTGATCAACTTGAGCACTTCGAGTAAATGAGAAAGCGCCAAATCTATTTCCTTGGACAAGCCTTCTTTCATTTCATTCACAGAAAGGGAGAAAATCACAATTCCTATGTCAGAGACCATAACTCCAATGAGATCCTTCATCTTATCGTTTAGCTCATCGAACTTCTCTTGCTGCCGACTAAGAAGGGTAATAAGGAACTTTACACTTTCACGGAGTTTTAGCATTTGATCCTTCACTAAAACTATGAAACTAGTATAATATACTAATAGCTCCATAAGACTATGCAGGAGATAGTCAATAAATTCAACCACTAGATGCTTATTCTCCTCCATAGCAAAAGTGTAGGATGATCTTGATAACTGGGAAGCTGTCAAAACATGCTTATAAGTTTCTTGGACATGGGGATCAGCGGGATCAATCATCTGCTGTATCACTTGAGAAATTTCAGTGTTTATCTCATTGGACACTTGCTCATCATCTCTTTGAAACAAAGATCTACAAATCAAGCTTGCAGCATTGACAGCCACAACTTCAACGTGAACCAGCAGATCTTTTAATTGCATACCCTCAACACCTTGTAGTGTCACAAAGCCAATGAAACTCTTCAAGTGCATTAGCTTGTCTTGAAGGGTTCGCATTACAATTTTCAGATCTTCATCAAATATATAATACGTGCCATAAAGATGCCTCAGATTCTCTAAAATGGAATCAATGAAATCTACAAGAAATAGTAAATCTCCCAATGAGTAGTAGAGCAACAAACTATTGATGTTAAATTCCTTGATATCTAAATCAAAAAACAATGACATATTATCCTCGAATCTGGCGAGCTCAGGTCTGATATGACTATGATCTGATGCATCGGACTGAATATATCTAAAAAAAGCAGAGTCAAGTCCATGTGTTATCCCCCTAACCAGATCTTCAATCCTGAATGAAATACTACTAAGTCTCAAACTATTAGATTTATCATCACCATTTTCCTCCTTATCATATTCCAAACACGTAAATAGATTGCTCCTCCTCGTCTTACACTTTCTAATGTAGCTAGATTGTGCAAAAAGGAAAGAAAACGTGAAGATGAATTAAGGGAAGGCGTGGCAGTGGCTGGGAGATGTCAAAAGAAGACATGATCCGAGGAAAATCAACAACTAGCAATACACAGAAGAGGGAAAGCGTGAAGTCAGGAAAGGGGAAGGCGCAGCAGGAGAGTGAAGGCGCGACCAAGGGATCACGCCTTTGCTGGGTTCATGATGTTCTTGCCGAAGCTGGGACCAGTTGAGCTTGAAGATTCTCCTTACACGTGTCAATCACTCATTAGCTAGTGGAAGGAGTTTGTTAGAGTAGCTTTCTATAAATGATACGATCATGTAATTGTTAGGCATTATGGTTAAGATTTTGCGATTTTAATTAGAGAGGGAATATCCCCTCTGTTTATCTTTTTCCTCAAGTTTCCTGCACTCTTTTCTCCTTCTTCTCTTTTCCCGCCAATTCTCTTTCTGTATCCAATTTTGAAGTTCATGAATGAAATTGGAAATGTTTGATTGAATCTAGTCAAGTTTGAGTGTTAATTAAATTCCTGCTAATTTCAACTTTCCATTCCAGCAACATTTCTGGTTCTGAACCACAACAGTCTTTCCAAATCTTTTTCAAAAAAAAAAAAGTCTTTCCAAATAAACATCCTGAGCTGATTTGCTAAACTAAAAGAGGACATTTTGCATGATCCATGGCTTCCATTACACAATTTTCTTCAATTAAAATCAGTGATTTTTTTAACATACAGTATAGATGAACAGAAAGTTCATTGAATTAGAATACATCTATCCATCTATATCTGTACTATATAAGGGCAAGTTTGCAATACTGAATTGGTGCGTTAGATTTCATATTCCGAAAATACACTCGCTATAAATTTTAATATCTTTGTTTTGCTTCCAAATATGAATATCCTTTCTTAGATTGTTAAGGCTATTTATGAAACACCAACAATGAGTTTTCAGCTTAGAAATATAAGTTCTATTGAAGTAGATTTTCTTAATTTTCTTGAGGAGTAGTGTAGAAAGAAAATGTTCGGAAAGAAGTTTTAGAGATTACATTGGCAGTCAATTAATTGCATAAACAAATATGGAGATCTCCTAAAATTTCTCAAGCAATAGTATGGAAAGAAAATGTTTGGAAAGAATTTTTACAAATTTCTTTAAGCAGACAACTAATTGCATAAACAAATATGGAGATTTCCTTAATTTTCTTGAGCAATAATGTGAAAATAAATTATTTGGAGAAAAGTTTTAGAAACTTCTTTGGCAATATACATTTGGAAACTAAACACGAATAGCATATCAATTTCTTATGCTTGTTATGATTGTAGGGAAACTTTCCTGGAAGCACTTTTCGAAACTAAAGAAGAATATCAATTAACTTTTAGGAATAAAGTAATAAGTTGAAGAAAATATTTAAGGAAAGTGTTTAAAATCAAACATTAAATAAAATACAAAACATACATATATATTATTGCAAATGAATTTTAGAAATCAAGTGAAGTTATATTTAGAAGAAAATTTCTACGTATGATAAATCAACGTGAGATTTGAAATCAACTAATTGAAGGGATTACACCAAGGGATATGGTTCTTCGAGTCTCGTACTGGCAAGGCATAATTACAAAAATTGAGCTTCTATTGTCAGCCTTTAGGAAGAGCTCAATTCGGTAATTAAAAGTACCTGTCGTTGATGAGCACCAGCAATCGCCTCAACTCTTTTTGAAGAAATTGACTGCAGGAGCTCCAGCAACCGGCACCACCTTCACCACCTCCCTGACAATCGTCTCCTACTCCACTCCAATAGTTAAAACTCAGTAAATTTATTTTAAAAAATGCAATCTTTTTGTAGGATTTCTTTGAAAAGTATACTACCATACAAGCAGATTTGTGAGAGTCACTGCATGTCTGCAACGAGATAGTTCATAGTAGCAGGGCTTCACTTTCTTGCCCACTAAAAAAGGGTTTTGTGAAGAATATATATATATATATATATATATATATATTTTGTCGAAACGATAGGAAATTTCATTATCATAAAAACAAGTTACATGTACAAGCAACGGCTCAAGGGAACTGTACAAAAAGTGTTCAAAGAACACTGAGGAAAGTTCATTCCTCATCCACAATTACGCTTAAAGCGTCTGCACTCAGTTTTCTACTATCTAACATATTTTCTTCCTTTTCCAACCTAAAAGAGCACATGCAAAACAGTCTTTTCAGATTCAGAATATCCTCCAGCAATGTAGCCATCTTGCTATTTGATGGTTGTTGCTATGTTAGTTTTTTTCCATAACTCTTTGTTACAAAAGTTGAGTCATACCTTTCTCTACTATTGGTGCACAGCTTTACACAGAGCCAGTTTTAAAGCCAATGCTTCATCCAAAATTTTGCTCCCCAAGCTTCTCTCTTTCAGTACCCAGTCTGCAATTTTAGTGTTTGCTATTGTTCTTACTGTGACTCCTATTCCAAGGCCATTCTGTTCTTGCTCCTTTGCTGTTGTCACTGCTAAAATTATAGCCCCTTTATTTCCAGTGCTCTGGCTTTGTTGTTCATTTACAGGGACTATTTTTTCTGTACTCTTCCTATCTCCCTGTTGAAGCTCTATACCTTGTTCCAGCCATTCTTTATGCGCACGGTCTACTATTCTCATTGGTGTTGATCTATCTGAGCTCTCAAATTCCTTCTTATTCCTATCTTTCCATACCTGCCACAGTATATTTGCTGTCAGTCCAATACGATCCCTCCCTTCTGGTCTACTCATTGCTTCTGAAATTCGCAGCCACCATCTCTTGAAATGTCCCTTCTGGTCTGTTGCTCCATCCCATTGAATGGGAGCTGATTTCCAGATATCCATAGCATGGGAACAGTTGAGCAGCAGACGTTCTATGGTTTCCTGTGCCTCACCACAAGTTGAGCATATAGGATCACCTATTCCTGTTCGTCTCCACACTGCCTCCCTGACTGGAAAGGCTCCTTGAATACACTTCCAAATGAAGTGTTTGATTTTATGCTTAACATTAAGCCTCCACAGTGTATTCCACATCTGAGTCATTTGTTGGCTTTCCTCTGAAATGCTTGATCCAGCTCCCTCCAATTTGCACCTCCTTTTGCTTCTACCCTTCTCCATCAG